TGTAAGAATGCGACAGCTATTGTTCACCTTGCACGTCACACCAGGCCACGCATTGACGCCGATAATGAACATGTTAACAAAACAAAGCAACCTTGTTTCAAATTTGGCGTTGAAATGGCTGGAACCCGTGGTAAAAATGTGGGGAGGTGGGCTTGGCGAGTCTTTTGTCGCTTACCAGGCAATTTGAAATAGTTCTCGCTCCCCCTCACTTCGTGCACAATATGGATTCATTAGGTAGTGGTATGCAACGCAAGTTATGGCGATATTATAAGAAAGATCCGCAGGTTGATGTGCCCACGGGTCCGGTCACAACAGCATAGTATGTAACCACCATGCAAGAACGCCAGACCGCGTAGTGCGCAGTGGCAATAAACCGAGCAGTACCCAGCGATACCGAGTCGATGACGATTATCCCCCGCTGTCATTCCAGTGGTCAGCGTCCGTTGTCGCACCAGTGGTCAGCGCCCGTTGTCACTCCAGTGGTCAGCGCCCGTTGTCACTCCTGTGGTCAGTGCCCGGTGTCACTCCAGTGGTCAGCGCCCGGTGTCACTCCAGTGGTCAGTGCTCGGTGTCACTCCTGTGGTCAGCGCCCGGTGTCACTCCAGTGGTCAGTGCTCGGTGTCACTCCTGTGGTCAGCGCCCGTTGTCACTCCAGTGGTCAGCGCCCGTTGTCACTCCTGTGGTCAGTGCCCGGTGTCACTCCAGTGGTCAGCGCCCGGTGTCACTCCAGTGGTCAGTGCTCGGTGTCACTCCTGTGGTCAGCGCCCGTTGTCACTCCAGTGGTCAGCACTGACGTCGGCGGCTCACCGCTGCGCCTTGGCGGGTGCGCTGGGGTGCACGCGTGGCGCACAAGTCTCGGCAGAACGGCGGCGCGCAGGGATTGCAGGGTTCGTGACGGGCCAGCTGCAGGGTTCGTGACGGGCCAGCTGCAGGGTTCGTGACGGGCCAGCTGCAGGGTTCGTGACGGGCCAGCTGCAGGGTTCGTGACGGGCCAGCTGCAGGGTTCGTGACGGGCCAGCTGCAGGGTTCGTGACGGGCCAGTTGCAGGGGGCGTGACGGGCCAGCTGCAGGGTTCGTGACGGGCCAGCTGCAGGGGCGTGACGGGCCAGCTGCAGGGGCGTGACGGGCCAGCTGCAGGGTTCGTGACGGGCCAGCTGCAGGGTTCGTGACGGGCCAGCTGCAGGGTTCGTGACGGGCCAGCTGCAGGGTTCGTGACGGGCCAGCTGCAGGGTTCGTGACGGGCCAGCTGCAGGGTTCGTGACGGGCCAGCTGCAGGGTTCGTGACGGGCCATCTGCAGGTTCGTGACGGGCCAGCTGCAGGTTCGTGACGGGCCAGCTGCAGGTTCGTGACGGGCCAGCTGCAGGGTTCGTGACGGGCCAGCTGCAGGGTTCGTGATTGGCCAGCTGCAGGGGCAGTGACGTCACGCGGGGAGCGAGGCGAACCGCGACCATTGACCCGGCGTGCGCCACATCTGCCGCCGTCGAGGGCGATGCTGACACGCTGGTGCAGAACTGCCAGGCGGCCAGGCATGTGGCTGGGTGATATACGACCAAGCAGGTCCCAGACACCGCTCTGAAACGCGTCCGGGCCTGTGGCCAACTCACATATGGCCTGCGGGGGTCACTCGTGAGACCTTCTCCAGACTTCACGGACACTGGTGCAGCATGTATGTGATACTAGTGCCAAATGTAGTTTAGCATTGGATTCTGTTGGTAGACACATTGTTGATGGCTTTGTACTAACCTAACATATATCGTTTTGGCGGCTAGCTATTGTGGATTCGGCATACTTACCTTATTAATTTGGCATCTTACCTTCTGCCAGGAGTTTTTCCCTTTGCGATGCAATGATGTTGCGAAGCCATGGTCTCAATATGAGCCTTACTGGTGTTGAAACTGCGACAGTGTCACTTCCCATGTGGCAGTGTTGTGCGTCAAAACGTTAAGGGCACAGCCAAACAAAAAAAAAGTGAAAAATTATCGGAGTGTTTCGGAATTGGTTGGATGTGGCAAGCGTTTTTTAATCCAAATTTTGTGCCATCCATAAAAGTATTATAGAAAATATTCAATGTTCGGCTCAATTCATTAAGGGACTGCTTCACATTTATGTGGGGCTTTGAACTGCGCTGGCTATTCCAAAGATCATGTAGCGAGGGTCACAGCCTTGGTCTCTTTAAGACTTGAACCCTCTGGCTTCTGAGCTTGACGCCCGCAAATTTCTACAGACTGTGCCATGGTCACCCAGGCACACATCACGCCGCAGACACGTCATTTCTACAGACTGTCCCATGGTCACCAAGGCACACATGGCGCTGCAGACACGTCGCATGCATGCTGCCACATCACTGACCGCGTAGCGCTTAAGGCCACGAAAATATTATCATCGAGATATTCGTTCCTGGCATCAACGGATTGCAAATGGTCATAGAACGATGTTGCGTTCCATGCAAGTTTCGCACCCGAATCACGTTTTTTGTTGCTATATTGTACAGGAATTTGGGCAGTGAAACGAGTTATGACGGAATTAATACTAATAATTGAATGATTTAAGAAAAGCACACATATCCTGGTGGGTGAATGCAATATATGATAAGAAAGCAGGATAAGTCTGCAAGAAAACCTCTAGAAAGGGCCAAAACACCGCACATAAACGATAATTGTGTTTTCTGCAAACAAAGCACTGACAAAAGACACGATAAAACGAAGTACTACAAGTGACTACTGGTGGCAATTCCGCACGGCTATTTTGCCAGCCACTTGTCATTAAGCCATGACGCAACCAAACGATGCCGTCTTGTGGAGTAATTTTAAAATAATATGTTATTTGTCGAGAACAGTCTGGCGCTAAAACTACGCCACATACTAAAATTTAGTAAGTGTCTGCATCATATCTGCTGTTTGCGTCAATGTCTTCAAACATGAAGCATTCTCTCCAAGTCGTGACAGCCTTCCCAACCGTTTAAACCCTCCGTCCCACCTTCACTTACCTCCGGACGACTTTGGCGCCCCGTGCCTCCGTTTGTGATCCAGAGATGAGAGATCACACAGCTGAGCCGTGTGATGTCACTGTCGCCGGCAGAGGAGGCGGTGCCGCACCTCTTCAGCGATGGACTAACGGCAGCCTGCTGGACGGCATCGGCCCGCCCGAACTGCCCAGCATGCCAGCCATGGAGAGTCTGCTCACACAGGACGGGTCCGATCTCTTCAGAATGGACGCCGACCACGCCATCGACATCGATGAGCTGTACGCAAGGACTGCAGGACGGATCAGGTACGCAGCCAGTACTCGGCCAATCGACATCGATGAGCTGTACGCAGTAACTGCAGGACGATCAGGTTACGCAGTAACTCGGCCATCGACATCGATGAGCTGTACGCAGGACTGCGGGACGGATCAGGTACGCAGTACTCGGCCATCGACATCGATAAGCTGTAACGCAGGGCTGCAGGACAGATCACGTACGTAGTACTCGGCTATCGACATCGATGAGCTGCACGCAGGACTGCAGGACGGGATCAGGTGCGCAGTATTCGTCTTCGTCATCAGCGATGTAGCACGGACCTGGGAAAATGATCTGAAAGGGATGAGAAATCCCGTGGCGTTTTTGTATGAATGACCGTGCCCTTTCATTATGTTTAGTACTAAGTGGTTCATAACATTTGTTGCTCAGTCTGTCGACTCTCGGTGTTATTATGACTTTCGTATAACAGGCTCATTCATTTGTTTGCGATACGCTCTGCGTGAGGTTGAGGAAGCTGTTTAGTTTACGAAATAGCTGGTAGGTCATACTGAAACTGGTCATGCAGAGTTCACGGCACAAATGCGTCTGTGTTGGTGGTCTGTAATGATACGGTGCTGAATCGCTCGCCCGTAGGTGTATGGGTCCGAGAGGGTAGCCTGTAGGTATATGGGTTTGAGTCGGTGGTTCTGTAGGTATAGCGTACAGAGGCGGTGGTCTGTAATAATATGGTGCTGAATCGCCGGTCTGTAGGTATATGGGTCCGAGAGGGTGGCCTGCAGGTCTATGGGTTTTGAGTCGGTTAGTCTGTGAGTATATGGGGTCCGCGTCGGTGGTCTGCAGGTATATCGCGCTGAGTTGGTGGTCCGTGGATGCATAGGTCTGAGTCGGTGGTCTATAAGTATATGGGTCTGAGTCCGTGGTCTGCAAGATATATGGTACTGAGTCGGTGGTCCGTAGGTATATGGGTCCGCGTCGGTGGTCTGTAGGCATGTCACGCTGAGGTTGGTGGTCTGTGGGTATGTAGGTCTGAGTCGGTGGTCTGTAGAGATATCGCACTGAGTTGGTGGTCCGTAGGGCATATGGGTCTGAGCAGATATCTGTAGGTATGTTGTGTTGGGTCGGTGGTCTGCCAGTTCCACTCAGTCGTTGGTCTGTGATCTGTCCGTCGAGTATGTGATCTGCATGTCCGTTGGTCTGTGATCTGTCCGTCGAGTATGCGGTCTGCACGTCCGTTGGTCCGTGATCTGTATCCGTTTAGTATGCTTGGTGAGTTGCGGAGCCTGCCGACTCTCTGGTTAGTATGGTCTGATGAGCCGGTGGTCTTTATATCTCGCTGAACCCGTCACTGCGTGTGTACCCTATTGGGTCTTTAGTCCCGAGGCCCGCGCCAGAGTTGGAGCGGGGAGGGCAAGCCAATGCTCAGGGAAAGGACAAGTCGATGCTCGTGAAGAGGGTGGGGAAGGGGGTGGAGCTGGCATACAGCTGGGACAAGATCGCTGTGTCAGGAAGCCGACCCCCTTAGCGCCCATGCGATCGCCGCTGGTCGGGTGGCGGGGAAGGGGCGGGGGCAACGGAAAGCTCTGGGATGCCAGTGACCCCTTAACCTCCTAGCGTATGTCATCCCATGCCTGTTTGTCTGTCACGTCTATTTGTGCCGGCGGTCGATATTTCCGGTTGAGTTGTCGGTATTTATCAGTACGCATTTCCCGCTGAGTTTGCGGCGTGTGCGGCGTGTCCAACCGGTGTTCCCTTCGTCGTCAGAGCTGAAGCAAGACCCGCCGTCTCCAGAGAGCTCAGATAGCGGCGTAGACACCAGCCCAGCTGGCTTCGAGGTGGGTGACCGGTGCGTCGGGTGCCTCGAACCTCGAACCTGGCGTCGGCGGTTGGTGGCATCCCATCAATGTTATCATTTTTCCTCGAGTGACGTCGATCTGAAATAGTCACGATGGGCATTATCAGCTGTTGCTGTTGAGCTGATCTCATTAGTAGCGCCACGCCAAGCAGTTGGCTGTTAGCCAGGCTGGTCAGCGGGCATTGGACCACGCCGTGTTGACGAAACGGTTACCGTGCCGACCAGTTCGCCCGGCTCTCTTGTTGAATGGAGTATTTAGGTCATGTCGATGCCACCAATCAATGCATTCTAGCGGCGGGCGATGCTCTGCCTCCTCGTTGGCTTGCACGTTGTGCTATACGAGTTGCGTTACCCTAAAATCCATCGCGAAGCTCCCACCTGTACCAGCTATTCTTAGGGATGTGGTTTCGCGACGATTGCACGTCCGGCATCTGACAGGGTGGTTCAACAAAAAAATATAATTTTTAAGGGGACGGTCGATGAAATCTTATTCCGGTTAAATGATGCACAGAAGCAAAGATTTTAGGTCTTTGGTGGTCTTCAGGTGGGGTAGGAACACTTCAGCCCGGCCCAATGACAACAGATATTTTACAAAATTGTGTGATGGATAAAACATCAGATGTTCAGGGAAAAGTATAACATTCATTAACATTCAAGCTCCCGAAAATCAGTGACAATGAGCTGGTGATGAGTTTATTAATTCCTCAATAATGATTCCACAATTTCCTGGAAGCGGACCTTGATAGCCATCTTTCCCACGAGCAAGCCTGCAACACGTTGGTAAGCATGCGTAACCCAATGCCTGCGACGTTCTAGCATATAGACTTGCTTACTACTCGCAGCAAACTTTGGCGGCAACAAATAGGTTCTCGCTATCAAGGGAGAGAGGCGCACCCGGTCGGTGAAGTAACTGGTTTTTCGCCACTTCGTCAAACTCAACCGGGGATTAAATTCCCACTCAGCGAGAAATGCTTATCAACTTTTTTAAGAGCCCTTCAGCCATATCTGCGAAGGCGTATGCCATGCGCTTCGACATTCACCTACTCAGGCTGGTACAGAACAACGTACAGGTGTGCGACGCACAAATTTGCAGACATGGACGCTGATTTCTCGTTGCAACCGCAAGCGACATTTAGACAACCAGAGCTAGACAACAGGGCATTGAGTAGACAATAATTTAGACAAGTAGGGCAGTTTAGAAGCAATTTTTGCTGAGTGGGAAGCTGAACCCAAGTTAAACCTGTGGGATCGCTGAGAAACATAGACACGTCTGTGGCTGCACGTCTGCCGGGTGCGCCTTTTTCTCTTGATGGTGGGAAACTTGGGTTGTCATTGCTGCAGTTTGCTTTAAGTGGTAGACAAGTGGATTTACCAGAACACACTTCAGGTAGGGGTCTTAGAAGTTTGTTGTCAAGGGCTGGCGCAAGAAAATTGGAGAATCACGTACTCACTATGTCCTCATCGCTATACGCTTTCTGTTCCTTGATTGTTTGATACGCATCCCCCTAATATTCCGAGGACTTATTCCCGACCTTACCTTGGGACAATTATGTTGGCATGGCCTTAAAGGAAACTATACAGACGTGACCTGGCATGGCCTGAAGTCCTTAATTTCTAAAGCTCAAAGACAAAGGGAAACACACACACACAACCACACACACACACACACACACACACCACACACACACACACACACACACACACACACACACACACACACACACACACACACACACACAACACACACACACACACACACACACACACACACACACACACACACACACACACCGCATATATATATATATATATATATATATATATATATATATATATATATATATATATTTACGCGCGCCAATAATTGCTGTAATTCCACCGTTCCCACCTCAAGGTCGGATTCAATGAAAAGCTAGTGAAGCGCAACGCCACTACAATGGAGGCTTCAGCGTCCAAAGGGTGAAGATGGTGTTCATGAAGCGCGGTGTGGATCATGGATTTCGTAGATACCGACCTGAAGTGCTAAGGAATGTTGAAAGAATAAAACAATGAACGAGAGGATCCCTCTGTCACCCATCTCCTCAGCATTTCTATTTTTTACTCTTTCCTCTGATGCCCTAACCGGCCTACGCACCAACGCATATTAACCGCCGCGCCAAATGTCCTCTGATGATAACTCCCCAGCTCAAACGGGCCATAGCCAGTCTCTGTCACGTTGGGGGGCCGTAGCTCCCGACACTGGCGGATGGCGAGTTCACCACCGGTGGCTGCTCCCATGGCCTGTACGCGCTATCCCGTCTGTGGTGGGACCTGCCGATCCGTGCGGTGCTGACTGAGCGGCCGTCCGCCGGCAGTGTGAGGACCCGCCGGCCCGGCCGGGCCTGGCCGTCTGCTCACCACACCCCGGACCCCTGAGGCGGGAGCCGGCTCACCGTGGTGGCCTCGCCGCAGTCTCACCAGCCGGTGAGTGATGCTGCGAAGGGCGCTGCTGCTGCGCGCGTGGGGGCATGCCACAAACATGGGCTCGGACCGGGCAGGCCTCGTGCAAATAGGCCACCACTGCGATACTGCTCAGTACGGTAAGGGGAGAAACACGTGCTTCTTGCTTTGCAACAATCGCTTCATACCAATAGTGCGTGGTGTTATCAGCCGTTATGTGTGCCTTGCTGCCACGGTCCAGCTAAACAAGGATTAGAAATGAAGCGTAAGCCTCAGTCTAGATTACTGAATTACATGTAAAAAGTCGTTGATCTCTTAATGCCGTGAGCAGTGCAGGAAAGCGCAGCGAGTTGCCTGTCTGTGAACACGCCGAGGTGATTAACTTTCACGTAACGAAACGGAAATTTGTGGTGCGTAATGACCGGTTCGTGTCCTATTCTTATCCAGTAGAGCCGATACCGAATCCAACTTATAACACGTGGGGCTGATACCGGTCCGGATTCCGTGCAATGCAGCGCAAGTTTTCTATCTAGTCTGCTTCTTGACGCGCATATAAAGATGGCGCAACCGCGGAATCGATCCGAATGCAGTCGATTCTGGTATCAACTTCGTGGGAGTGAAACCATTCTGTGGGTTTGCGTTCATATAATGCATTTTGGTTCTGATACAGGTCAGGATTTAGACATATCTTCCATCAAACACTATATTATATGTATATCATATATATATATATATATATATATATATATATATATATATATATACGTATATATATGTTGTGTTCCTCTTGGCACTGGACCATCATTCTCACCATCGGAATGAAGTGTATTCGGCGGTTTCTCACGTATTTGAGCCGGCTCACCGATGATTCTGATAAAAAGCCGGCTCAGCCCCGACTCCCGCCAATTTTGTAAAGAAACAATTTCACTGTGACGGAAAGGAAATTCGGTTGGTTTCTGAGTTTGCTCGGACCGCGCCCGGAGTCGAGCAAACATCTGGCAGGGGCGCCTCGAACACTGCAGGAGACCTAGCGTCGGAGTCTCTCACTGATTGTCGCCGAGGACAACGTAACATCGGGCTGGTAGCTGGGCCCGAAGCCCTCATCTCTTGGTGTACACGGCCGTGCGCGAACGTGCAACCAGCTGCGCTGAGCGGGCCCATTCATGGGGCAACGCGCGGGAAGGCCGAGTCTATCAGAGTGGCTGGCACGGATTTCAAGGCAAGGACAAGGTGCTAACATACTACCATAACGTCAGCAGAGATATACCAACAAGGGTGAACCCAAAGCGACGCTTTGGGTGGAGGGGGGGGGGATGAGAAGATGGTGGGATGACCCGGATGGTTCGTTGCGCCGGTACGCACGTGCGTGTCGCAGGGCAGCGTTTAAACTGTGTGGCGCCGCTCATCAATTCCTTCGTGAGGTAATGTAAATACCGAAATGGCTGTCAACTACCTGCTTCACCCGCGCTGCATCGGTTTACGGGAATGCTGGCATAAGGCAACGGACCACACATTTACAAGAATAGCACATGCAATGCTCAAGAATGGTGCAAAACACTCATCATTCATTCAAGTGTAGGCTTGGATAAACCAAGGGAGTTGATCTTTCAGTCCGTTTCAGCTCAGTATTTACCAAACTCCATAAACTTATGGATCGTATCGCTCATCTCCCCTGTTGGCAGACTTTTTCAACGCCTCATTAGTTCTCTTTTGATTAGTCCTAGTTCTTATTAGTCCGAAGCTGCTTTCTTGTTCAGTGGTTTTCTGTCTGTTGCATAACAAAAAAAAAAGAACTAAAAGATTTGTGCCTGCAAAATTCATGCTTGTGCTATCGATGTCGACGGATCATCTAGCTTTACCAAAAACGAAATTGGCGTCACGGTTTTAGCAACGGCATGCGAAACGTCAAACCAACATCCAACATCCATCCCCGCGATGCGAACACAAGTAGTTTGCCTCAAGCACGCACTACCCGTGTTTTTGGCTTCGTGTAGCACTTGCGGCAATTGTCTGTGCAATGAGAAGTTATCGTTAACACGCCGCGGAGGTAGTAATTGGCAAGTACCGAGATCTAATGACTTGTGCCGGTTTGCACCCTCTCGCGTGTCATGAAGCACAACTCTCCGACGCGGTTAAGTGGATAGGACGTAAGACTGCAAGTGGTAACCAGCCGGTTGCGGATGGTTCGCACACAGCGAAGGCCGTTGTGTTTCTAGTCGGCGGTCGGGGTGGAAGTACGGCTTTCGCGGTCATTGTCTTGCAATAACGTTGCGTAGCAAAATCATCATCACTGACTAACAGCCTGGAACCAAATTATCTCGTGGCTCCGACCACTTGGAAGTCGGGTCAGAATCTAGCTAGCTTAGATTGTTGAGTATGACTCCTGATCCTGACGCTGCGCGGACAAATGATTGATATGGCTGAAGCTCTTTTTAAGCCCTGTTTTCATTGTCCCCATTGCGTCCCGCCGACACGTGTCCGCTGTCTACTAACGTGTTCGTCCGCCGAGTCCGAAGCTGTACCGATCTCGTCAGTCTCTGCGACTTTTGTACTATAAGCCAGTTGCGTCGCAGTTCCGAGACCACTGGTTACCCGGCGGCCCTCTACGGACCGAGACCACTGGTTACCCGGCGGCTCTCTACGGACCGAGACCACTGATTACCCGGCGGCTCTCTACGGACCGAGACCGCCGGTTACCTGGCGGCCCTCTACGGACCGAGTGCTGAGCCGTGCGCCTTCCTTGCAGCCGGGGCAGCCACGGTTGTGGCGCACACATACGTGGTGAGGGCAGCGGCAGTAGCGCCCGGTCAGCGCACTGCTCCATCCGCAGCGGCTGCCCGGACTGTCGGCCGGCCACCGCTGACTCAGCCCGGCCAGCGCACCGCTCCATCGGCAGCGGCCGTCCGGGCCGCCGGCCGGCCGCCGCTGACCCAGCCGGCCGGCCGCCACGTGGACGTGAGTCCCCGAGTCACCGGCGCCTGGATCACAGCTGCTGACGTCATGATCAGACAAAAGAGCGATCGATGCAGGGGGGGGGGGGGGGATGTAAAAGCGAAGCAACGCGTCCGATGAAATGGTCAGTCGTGGTGGATGGGGACTCTACTCTGATGTGTGATCGGATAATCGACCTAGCAGAATTCGGCCCAATTTAAAAGCTCCACTCATTCCATGCCCCCAACTTTACATCCGCCTCACATGACACGCTTTAGGTACACTGTATGCGTGCTGTTTGATGAGTCATGCTCCGCTGGGCCGTTTAACGCAACGTATATGAGAACCATGCGCGCCCGTTGGTATTATGCCGCTCCGTCGTGGCGGTAAGGTGTCCGAACCTCCATCGTTATGATGGTAACCGTCCTGTGATAAGCGTCATCCCCTTTTTTCATCCACGGCCTCATCCCGAATACCTGCAACGCACTTTCACCCCGGGGCAAGCTGCGCACATCAGCCGTGAGTGGGCTGAAGCCCTCCCACCCCACCCCACACCCCACCCACCCCTATCGGGAGCCCCGCACGGGCGCCCTGCACGTAGCCCAAAGAAGGTTCCTTGGGCGTGGTAAGTCTCCGTAGCGGAGGACTCCCTGATGACCACGGTCTAGCCCCGGTCTTGCTCCCTGCTCACCTCTCTCCTGCACTCCAAAGGCCTGAAATTGGTCTTTGCTGGCCGTAAGTCACAACTGTCCAGACCAGGCGATGAAAGTGCTCAGCTGTGTTTGTCATCGACACGTCACGCCATATATGTAATGCATCACATGAGTTTGTTCGCACTTCCGCACGGCTGTAGCTGCCACTGTCTTCCCCACTTCGACTGACGCCGGTTTCCGCCGCTGGCCAGTCACGGTTGCTGAAGCGCCAGGAGCGCATGATCAAGAACCGCATGTCCGCCTGCCTGTCGCGCAAGAAGAAAAAGGACCAGTTCTCGGAGATGGAGGCGCACTTGCAGCGGACAGAGGCAGACTGCGGCCCGACTGCGCGCCGAGAATCAGCAGCTGCACCGGCGCCTGGCGCAGCTGCAGGTGGAGGTGGATATGCTACGTGGCCTGCAGACGCCCGCCTCGCCGCCGCCCTCGCCGCGCCGCCCGCTCCTGCTGCTCTCCGTGCTGCTGATCGCCTCGCTCAACCTGGCGCCCATCAGGTGCGCACGCGGCTGATGCTGCCGGTGTCTCTGAGCACGGAGCCAGCATGGGCTCGACACGGCGGCTGCTGGTCGTCCAGAACCTGGGGGCCCACTGGGTTTTGCGCAGCTAGCGGGCACGCTGTTGATGTGTGGTCAGCACAGATTATAAAGGCTTACCAGTATGGCTACTTCCATCCATATTAGTACTGACACCTCCAGGCTGATATCCTAGACCCACGAATTCGACAGCGTCTTGCTAGGTTCTTAAATCTGAACCTGTTTTGTTGGTTTTTGCAGCTGCACAGAACAGCTCGGTAATGCCACTGCAGTGGTCCCGTCCCGGCCGGTGCTTCTGACCAGCTCGTGCGGTGGCCACGCCCGCCGCCTGACTGACGCCGACTCCGGTGTTGTCTGCCTGCCTGTCGCCAGCTCGCTGCTCTCCGGACCGCTGCCGCCTCCGTTTGATCCATCGGAGGGGGACCGGACGGCGGAGACGGCGCCCGGCAGGACGCTGCTCTGGGCACCGGCCGACCCGCCAACGGAAGACACCGGCGTTTCCGCCGGCGAGGTCACCCCGGGTGGAGGACGCCACCAACTCGTCTGGAGGTGCCAACTGCAGCCCACACGTCAGCCAGCTGGAGGCCAGGAGGTGAGGTAGGTAGAGTCCTGTGCGACTGGATTGCATCGTCTGCCGTGAACACGGGGGCCAAAATGATCAGTAGCCGACTACGTGTCGACGCATGCAACCACCACTCGCTCGGTATCTCAGCTTCCCAGTCTGCTCTGTGGCGCCGGCGTGATGCGAGTTACGAGGGGCATGCGAGCTCGGGACGCATCGAAGCTTGGACTCAGGACCGCTCAACAGCCCAGTTGGGTGCCTACCCGTTGGCCTGCGCTGGACTCAAGTATGCTCCGCTCCACAGGCTGTCCAAGGTGCTGCGGAGCTGGTTCGAGCGGTTCCATCTGCCTACCGCGCCGGGCCTGGACCCTGTGGCCGACCGGCACGGCTACCCGACCTTCCGCACGGCCGGCAACACCAGCGGCCGACCCAGCCGGCGCGAGAGGTGAGGCGGTGCAGCTCTGGACCTTCTATACGGCCGGCGACACCAGTGGCCAACCCGGCCGGCGCGAGCGGTGGGGCGGGGTGGCTCTGGCCCGGCGCCCCGCGGCCGGGCCAGCGACGGATCCGGAAGCATTTCCGTTCTTGGCAAAAACTGTTGTTAATTTTTATGAGCAACAGTTCAGTGGCCTTTCTGCAGCAGCTACCATGGGTGTCAGCCAGAAGCTTGAAAGCCAGAGATGATGGATATCTGCGCTCCTTTCCTCTTTCTCGCCTCATGCTGCATCCTCACGACGACCCGTTTGTCCGCGGCAAGCTGCATGTATGAACCAACCACGAGTGGCTGTAAGTGCCCCCTGGCGGGGGCCTCGTCCAAGTGTCAAGCGCGCATCCGTATAGGGGTCAGGGTACGCCCAGTCTAGGCGGAAGACTGCCAGGTGTATGTGGTTTTGCCCCCCGCCACCCACTCTCCTTCATTCCGTAGCCACGACATGATCACTGCTGGCTGGAGGGGCTTTAATAAAAACGAATCAAAGAGATAACGGATGAGTCGTGGTGAGTCGATGCTGTTCAACCGAAAAATGACGTAATGAACTCGCTGCTGCCGCCAGGTGGCAGCAGGCTGCTCACCCAGCGGGCAGACCCGCGGCCTTCATGGAGGCGGTTGCAGCGGCGGGACGACACGTTCTACGTGGTCTCCCTCAGCGGGGAGCAGTTGATGCTGCCGGCGCTGAAGCACAACGAGACGCTGCGGCCGCGGGTGTCGCTTCTGCTGCCGTCGGCACCATTCAACGGTCAGTTGACTGTCCTCGCCGCTTCACGTACAGTTGACTGTCCGCACCCCGTGACGTGCAGTTGACTGTCTTCACGGCTTTGCGTGTAGATAGCTGTCCTCACCGCTTCACATGCAGTTGACTGTCTTCACCGCTTACGTGCAGTTGACTGCCTTCACCGCTTTACGTGCAGTTGACTGCCTTCACCGCTTCCCGTGTAGCTGACTGTGGTGTGCATCGTTCGACAGTTAGTTCGCTACACTGCGCACTTCCTATCGCTCAGATTGCAGCTTGGCACACCGCCGAAAGGCCAAATAATTGTCAGTTACGCTGCCTGTCCATTCACGGTCTTCCAGGCCCGTATCAACACTGAAGCGGGCACTGATCAGCGGAACTATGTAGGCCATCAGCTGCACCCGTCGTCCGTCTCCCGTATGATGACGTTCACGGACCTAGGTTGGTAATATCGTTGGAAGAATGCTGACTCGGATGAAGCTGACCCAATCTACACCCATTTTGAACGTAAGTATAATTTCTTCACGGGTTTTAAGCCGCTTCCCTTTTGCAATGCGGGGACTGAAGCCCCTCCAACCGAAAAAGGAACTACACCGCTGATGTGGCTGACCATGTTTGCGTCTCTCAGTGGCGGCACGGGCTCCGGAGCGGCACCTGGACATGATGCAGATCGACTTTGAGGTGGTCAACACGCGGCTGTTGCACGCCCCAGAGCCGCCGGTCATCCCCGCCGCCGTCGCCGCCGCCGACGCCGGCGTCCGGAAACAACCGGCGACCGACTTGGCTAACGCCACTTCCGGCGGAGCTCGACGCAAGCTCAAATCCGAACATTTGTCGAGAGGTGGCGCGCAGCGGTTTATGCGAAAAGTCGGACCTTCACAAGCCGACCGGCGTGGACCGCAAAGGAAAATTTGGTATCGAGCGCGTCATGACGTGTACGAACGGCTATTACGGGCACACATAACCTCAGCATGACTGCAAATGTACAGGGTCTCTAAGATGGTGCTGTGTGCACATGGCGCACATATAAACGATGCAGTGAGTGCATGGCCTCACGGTGGGGTGATGTATCGCCCAAAGCTGGTTGTGATTATTGTACACAATGAGTCGTCGGTGGCCGCATGCATGCTTCACTAAACTGATTGGCAGCTGTGTGTCGGTGCTGTTGTACCACCTGTGGTCGTTCGTTAGTGCTGTTTTTGCACATTGTGGTGGGCGAACGCATCATTTATATGCTGATTTACTGCGTTGGTATGCCTGTCCGAAGTCGACACAAGAAATGTGCGACACAGACGCGGCACAGATGAAATCGGACACAAGCAAATGTGCCCGCATTGGTCTGTGTCGATTTCCTTTATGAGCAACGTCGCATTTCGTCTCGCGGTGTGAATAATATTTAGTTGAGGATGGAAGCGTCGCGTTTCTCTGTCGACACCGGAGCGGTTCGGATCATGGTGGTGACATGCTGTAACTAACTACTTTACTTGCGTGATAGGCACATTGATGACGAGGCACACAATGGAACTTTACGGCAATTGCTTAGGTGCATGTGCGTGTCCAGAATATCCAATGACCAGCATATTGTTTGTGTTTAATAATGAGAGGTAAAAAGAGAGTGGCATGGGCACTGCTTCATACAGACCGTGGTACATTGCTTTGTAAAACAGAATTGTTCGACAGCGCATCGAACGAGAGCCAAAGGGACTCGCGGCACTACACTGCACTGCACTGCTGCACTAAACACTACACTACTCCGACGGACAGTGCCCATGTGTTTCTGGGCAGTCACGTTTGCAGCGCTATTTCTTCCAGTTACACATGCCTGGATGAGGGGTGTTATAGTTTCCTATTTGATTCGAGCGGGCCTTGGGACCCCATCACCACCCCACTCTCAACTTCGAGAAAAAGTGGGCGAAATCCTGGGGAAATTTGAGGCGCATTTTGAGCGGTGGCCTGGTCCGGACGCATGCCTGTCAGGAGGTGCTGATCACACAGCCGGTTTCGATCCCTGCTGGGCCACTTCACTTTTCACAATTATTTTCACGGTGTATCTTCTGCACTTCATAAGGGTCCGGCGCTCGCTATCCGGGCAAGTGTGTTGGTCCCTGGGCGGCAACTGCTTCTCACAGTTGCAGTGTGTTCGCTCCATTTCAGCCTTATCACTGCGAATGCCGGCCGGAGCCAGGTGCCTGCCCTGTACGCGTGAAGACAGTCTCAGACATGACATACCAGACAGTGAAGACATCTGGCCGGTTATGTATGGATCTCTTGCATTGCGTCTGCCTTGGTGTTAGGCAGGGCATGACACAGACGCTGCTCCTTCTAACGCGGCCCCAATAATGTGGCCGCGAACTGCTCGAACCGCAAGAGAAGTGACACTCTAACACGCTCACACGACACGTGGAGAGACCTAGTCGCCCCTTTGCACCCGGTGGACAGCAGATGGACGCGGCGGCGCCCGCTGTCCACCAGACAACCGAGCCGCCCGTTAGCCACCCGCAACCGCTTGGCCGGTCCGCTGATTATCTGACGAGCCTGAAAACCTGGCCAGCCGCTCGCCGCCTGTCTAAGCCGATCGGGTAAAAACCGGTCGCTGCGCTTTCGTTGTCTGATCCACTGGTTATCTTGTATGTTGGGTGACCGCTGGGCCGCTTTTCCCCATATTACCCAGACAATGCTGTCGCCCAACGGTCGCACACTGTTTGATAGTCCTCGTGCCGCAACGCCTTTCCTGGGCGCGATGTTAGCATCAAATTATCTATAGCCGAACTCCGCGAGTGGAGCTTGCACATGACCCTGTTTTAGGGTTACCGCAGGACACCCAAAACACGGGACCTGGTCCCCGTCGCTTGTTTGCTTGATGTGATTCCCTCGCGCCATTTTAGTGAATGCGAGTAGCCGATCGCCCGTTGTACGCAAACCGCTGCGGCGTGCTAAAAATGCCGACAGTTACGCGGGGATAACTTGATTATGGCGTTTCATAACCCTGGCTCTGCACTATCGCACGACTCACAAGCGACGGGCTAGGTCGCCGACGTCTATTCTTGTGTAATAAGACATCTACAAACTTATTAAAGGATATATGTGTACCTTCTATAGCAGACACGTTTATCATATATCAATACCGTTCCTATATTTTCCCGCATTTCGTTGCATGAGACGAAGCGCAAGATGAAGTGATTGATTCTAGATTTTAGCCTTTCGGGATCACAAGAAAAGAACATTCACTACCACTTCTATACTTGGTTCCAAGCTGCTGTTCTATGCTGCTGTTCACTTCATGCCACGATTTTCTTTAAGGCCAGATACATTATTTTGGTAAATATTGCTGTTTTGAGGCAAAACTTCTGGGTAAACAAAAAAACAGTGCGTAAGTGAGGAGGATATGTCATTTGCTGCGCATTTCTTTATTCATTTCCAGATCCTAAAGCAAAGCGGCACTGCAAAGCACTTTTGCAATTACCATGCTGCGTTTTACAAGGTAAGAGCACTCGTCTCAGCCGCGCCGTGGTGGCGCGAAAATTGTATCTTCGAAAACAAATGGTGTGCATCGGGCATTGATGGTGCACGTCCAAAATAAAAGAGAGTGGTAGGTAGTGTGTTTGTGTGTGAAGGTAGGCCTCAATCATTTAGTGTTTGTATCTGGGTCCCTCTTATGAAGTTTTGTTCAGTTATACCCATGGCCTGAGCTATAGCGCAAGGGGAGTGGGATATTGATGGCCTGTCAGCGCGATTTTTTTTGAGCAGCCATCTTTATGACTTTATTTAGGTATGGCCAGTATGGGCGTAGTGTCCTGGCTGTTTGCTGCAACAGTCATTTCTGGCTCATCCAAAGAATGTGGGCTGAAGGCATCAACAATGTGTGCTATGGTTAACATTTGTGAGGAAAGCTTTGTGCTTTAGTCTCAATGAAGGCTACAATATGTGTCATAATGTTGCATAACCAGATTTGACAAATTCTTGCAATCAGTGGTTAAGCATGATATGCTTATACACATTTTCTCCTCAACACCCAATGGACTTCTGATACCACTCTATGTAATGAGGCAGAAAGTGCCCCATGTGCTACATGGAGTGGTGTAGTGGTAAGGCTGCTGCCTGCATTGGTTTTTATTGCATAACATGTGCCCTTTTTCAGGTGACAGTCATGCAGCCTGTTTGTTTTCTTGTGGAGAATGATAGCCTGGCTGAGGCAGCCCTCAGTCACATCACATCTGAAGATTCTGGACTATTGAAACATTCTGAAATCCAAGATGTAATCCATTTGAGATTTGCAACATCACAGATAAATTGCCCGACCATCTCAGAAAGAGGTTTGCATGTGAGTGCTATCATTCTGTGTGTCCCTAGCACACTGTTTCATGAATTGGGAAGTTCATGTATGGTATTGTTCATCATCAGTCACATTTCAGTCATGTCCATCCTTCAACCATTTCTTGTGACAGCTGGTTGCAGGTATATGCATCTTGCTCATCACTGAAGCTTAGTTGAAGTTCATGTTTCAGAATGCATGAGCAAAGGTTTCAATATGTGTTATTGAACTCTGAATGCTTTACTATGCTTTGGCATGGAATTATGATGCATCAAACACTTTTATTGCAGGTCTGCAGGGCTGCAAAGGTCTTGCCAAAATGGAATGTTCTCCATCTTAGTGAAGAGGATGTTCTCAGAGCTATTCAGCTTTGTCTTGGAGAAAAGGCAAAACAGGTCTGTCCCTCTGCCCCAGTGTAACACGGTCAGAAACACTTGGGCATATGATCATATGGCTTTTCAGATAATGTTCTTTGTGTGGTACCTAAATGGCTCAGCCGATGGTCAACAAACTTTCAGCACTTGATTACGGCACAAGTGCCAATAACTTATGACCTGGAATGTATCAGGTCACCTCAAGGGTTAAGTTATGTGACCTGATGGGACCTTAAGTTGCTATCTCCGACTCCATAAACAGAAGCCTGATACCGCCGGAAGATGTCATTTGAATTGTGTTTAGAAGCCCATAAACCGAGGAAATCCAAGATGAAATGATTATTTGGAATAAAAGCCAGTGCCACTCATTTTGCAACATTTCAATGGCCTTTTGTTTTTAAGCCAAGAACAATCAGGTTCTTTACCATAATTCCTGGAGTTCTACAGAGTTATTAAAAGGCAACCTGTTGGTTGAATGTAGATGCTAAGTAGAACTGGGAAAGCTTTGTATTGATGTGGCTTACCGATGTTCTCCTTGGGATATTTATTTTTTAAGAATTGAGGAGCGTGTTTAAGCACACGCACTTGCCACGCTCGTAAGCACACACTCGTTTAAAAGCAAATACTACGTGGGGCGTTGCAGTCTCCATAGACGGCGTGGTGTCTTCATAGACCGCGGGGTGGTTGTGTCAGGGTCCTAGCAACAATCTGCCTAGCAAGGACATGATCCTAAAGCCACCCCAGGAAAGCACTTATTTAAATTATTGTAAAAAGAACACGTGGGAATACGTCAGAAGTGGAGGCAGGGTACTTCCCGTTGCCTCGAATCATGGCTTCATGAATTTCTGACACCTTTCGTTCCATCACCTAAGTTTCATCATGTTAGCAGCACCAATCACCCAGTACTGTTCCCATTTCTAAGCCATGTAACTTGCCAGTGAATCCGTCTATCCCATGCAAACGAGGCCGCCCGTTTCAGGAATGTGGCGAGTTCTGCGTCCAGGCCAGCGACGTTGCTGGCCGTCCACCAGCGGCTGACCAACAACGCCATCTACGGCGACCTGCCGGCGTCCGAGCTGGACACCTCGGCTTACGAGCAGTACGCGGCCGACAACCACCTGGTGGACACGCCGTCCGTGTTGCGCCGACTGCGGCGGCTGGCGGCGGACGGCCAGCCGCTGGCCGCCGACGGCCGGCCCGTGCTGATCCATGGCAGCCCAGCCAGCGAGCTGGAGCGCGCGCTGGCTGCTGTGCTGCTCGGCGAGCGCGTGGTGGCCGTCCGTCCGGCCCGCCCGTCGACCTGAACGGCTCCATCGCGAACGCGCGACGAGCCGGCCGACGGCCGCCGACGAGCCGCCGTTGGACGCCGTGGAGACGGTGTGGCACTGCGTGGACGTGGAGCCGGCCAGCACCAGCCTCTCGCCGGCCGAGCAGCACGTCAGGATCACGATCGGTGAGGCAGGCGGGGCACCGGCGGCCCGGTCCAAGTGATCGGTGTGGTGCCGATATTTAGAGTTTTGATCTCGTCGCGTCGAGGTTTGTTGACTGCTTCGACGAGAGCAGAAGGTGCAGAACGATATGACGACAAATAGTGCGATGGTGGCTGTGGGCAGATGCGACGTATTGTGCAGGTTCTGTGTGGAATGTTACAATGCTTGTTTAGCTAATCTTTGTTCCGTTATTGATACTCACGTGGTCGTACTTGACAACTTTCCCCTCCAGCACCTGAGCTCCGTCGTGAGAGCCATGGAATCGTACAATGCACGCCACGAAACCCGGGAGAGACGATTGATTCCCGTCGAATACCTGCGCAGGTGCCCTGTTCCGTATTTTGGTAAACACTCGAGACGAACTGGCGTTGGCGGCTGCCTGCCAGGCACCCGGACTGCAGCTGTCCAGCCAGGACTTTCTTGCCATCCGTCGCGCAGCTAGGACACGCTCCATGCCCATGTACCAGGCAAGTATCTGGGCCGTCACGCTTGCAGCTGTTGAGAGGCATAGTGTGCCAGACGGGTGACCTAAACATTATGTATACTAACGGGCCTCGCACGGCCGCCCGTGTGCTAGTTGCATATATGCCGCGCCTGGCGCCCGTCTGTCCAGGCGGTGCATGCGCGCCCGTCTTTCCCGTCTGGACGACGGCGCCTGGCGCCGCCTGTCCAGGCGGTGTGTGCGTGCCTGCCTCTCCCGTCTGGACGGTGGCGTCAGGCGCCGCCTCTTCGCACCGTCTCGGCCAGTGGAGCGCTGCTGACGCGGCGGCGCCGGCCTCCGACAGACGGTGGTGTCCCACGTGCGCCGGGTGGAGCTGGGCGGCCAGAACTACCAGCCGGCCGCGGACTGTCCGTTGCACGCCAGCACGCCGGCGCTCCGAGGTCTGGTACGCCTGGTGCACAAGCTGCACGACGTGCTGGAGGAGGAGCCAGATCCCAGGTGGGACAGCTGGCCACGGCAGACAGGCCTGACGGACCCTGCCACGGAGAGCTGGGCAGACGTGCCGGGCTCTGCACTCGTGGGATTAGCGGGGCAAGGGGGCCAACTGATGGTTGGACAGAGGGCGTCCTTATTTTTCTCCGGGGCCAGTTGTTGAAACAGGGGAGGGGGGGGGCGCGGCTAAAAGCGGTACAAGTTCCACCCATCTCTAGGAGTGCGGCGGATTTTATTCGTACGTCATTTCGAATGTTATCGTATGCGATGTTCATCCACGCAGGTAAACAACCCTTTTATTTTGTCTCCTCAGGTAAACCGTCCAAACTCTTGTGGTCTACGTCTGGTCGGCCATGTATGTGTGGCAACTTTGCCTCGCCTGCTCTTAAAAGTATGTGTAATTGTCCATGCGCTGGACAGCTAGATGGACGGACAGTTCTTCTGTTTTGTCGATTTTTTTTTGTCATCAACATGCTGCTCGACGTTCAGCGTGGCCATAGGCAGCAGCTTCTGTATGCGATGTTAAGCGTCCTGACCAGCAGCCGTGCCTCAGGAAGTGCTGTCTGCGCCTGTTGTCTGCCGTCAAGAGCTGCGTGCTGAAGGGCAGCCGACTGCGGCCGGCGCTGGTGGAGCGGGTGACCGCCGAGCTTCGGCAGACCATAGAGCGGGTCTGCAGCGACTACGGCCAGCAGCCGGACCCGGCCGTCATCGGAGGCCCCCCAGTCAAGGTCAGGCCGCCCGGGCTTCGTGCCGGCGTGTCTGGGTACACCGTGAGAGTGGAGCGGACACGCCGGCCGCATCATGTCCAACCCGTTGTGTGACGCGAGCTGCTGGCACAGGTCAATGTGGTCGTAACTGAGTGAGAATGGCTTTGGTACGTCCGACTGGTGTGTATGTATGCGTGTGTGGGGGGGGGGGGGGTGCGCACGCATGTGCGTACGCGTGTGCGTGTGTGTGGGTTACGTTGTGTACGTACCGGAATTACCACTAGCCCATGGAAACTATGAGTTTTTCAACGCTTCACTGCAGAAACGTTGCAATCGATCAGCAGGAAAACTGGCGCACATCACGTAACCTGCATGTTGTCTATGGTCTATATGTCACAAAGTGTGCCCTGCATTGACCCATTGACAGGTGGTGCGGGACCTGTGTGACCGTCTGTCGTTGGCAGGCGGTGCGGGACCTGTGTGACCGTCTGTCGTTGGCAGGCGGTGCGGGACCTGTGCGACCGCCTGTCGTGTAGCAGTCCTCCGGTGGTGGACCACCTGAGCGTGCTGGAAGACGCCGTCGGCAGTCCCACTACGCCCGGCCGCAGCCCGCTGGCACTTCCTTCCGTCGTCTCCCTGTTCAGGTGTGGTATATAGCGCTAATTAAAATGCGGAAGACGGCCTTTTAGCTTAAGCGTTGTATAAAAAGAGACGGACTAAAACGATTTTGGGTGATACAGTACGCAACGAGCACCCGCGCACCCGTCATGTGCCGCCTCAGTCGACGGAGTGACGGCCTTAAAGAGCCTGGCGGCCGAGTCGGCTTCGGCAGACGACCGCGCTGGTTCTGCCCGAGTGTGACGTTACACGGCGTGATGTATTGGAAGCTAGGCACCTTTAGCTGCCAGGTGGCGTACGTGTTGGTTTGTGGACTGAGCTCAGGCGCGGGGCGGCCGTGCCGTGCCATTGCGCGGCCCGTAAACCCCCCGCGAGGCTCCTGTCCGGTGAACAGTGGGATACAAATTTTTCCGTTAACTGGATGGCGCTGCTTGGGTGGCGTGCTCAGAGTTTACGCATAATGTTTACTTGATGGGTTTCCTGAACCCAAAGCTGCACAGGGAACTGCGGGGAATATTGGTGAATACATTTATAAAGGAGCTGCAAGCAGTGAAGCCCCATTTGTAGCTCGGGCTGCTGTGCACGCTCAAGTCTCCATCAGAAAAATAATACTCTGTAGACTACGCATTAATGCTATTGTTTATGGCAAAGGAAGATCTCATTGCTGTCGCTGACAGTCATTTATCAGCTATGCCACCATTGACTGCATCATGTAGGTGTCGCCCGAGATATTATCTGCCTACTTTCTAGACCGTCCATGTGCCTCTGTCGAGGTGTTGACGGCACGGTGCGTGACCTGCTCTCATACAGCTGTCGGCCTTGTTGAAATGCTGATCGTTATAACTTACCGCCGTCAGTTTTGTGCTTGTGCCATTAGGCTGCCCAGAGATGTCACCATATTGGTTACTCTGTCGCCGAGCACTGCGTTCCTGTTATTTGATGACACCTCTCTTATTTTTTACTTCCTGGCGCCATTTGGAGCCACGTTGACGAAAGCAGTTTAGGTTATTTAAAAGCTGATCGTGTGAATATTTGGATGGCACTTAGCTTAATGGTTTTTTTTGCGAAATTGTGCCGCTGATATGGGAACTAGCGGCCCACCACCTTTCAGGACCCCGGTCGAGCTGGACGAAGACAGCGGTGACGTGACCGGCCTGTCTCTGGAGGAGCGCCTTCGCAAGAAGGGTGTTGCGCGCACGGAGACGCCCACCACAAGCAAGAGGTTGGTGCTGGCTGCTGCGTTTACTGCAGCGTCGCGTGGGCGTGCCTGCTTGGATGGCGTCGTCGTCGGGTAATGTAGGACTTACCCTGCGGACGTGCGGAAGTCGCGTACTGCCATCTTTCATGTGCCGTGTCTCACCTGTTCCATTTGCAGACTGTCGTGCGCATCATGCGCGTTATCTTCCGTGCATTGCATCGCTCTACCCTATAGTACATGAGACGGTAAACAGTGCGGGATCGGAACCGTCTCATCTGGGACAAGGTGGTTTGCCTTGTTCCTTGACCGCCACACGTTGATCTGGCCTACTGCTGGATTTCGACACTCCGCTTAGTGATGAGCGTCGTTGGATGTGACCCCGTCCGTCGCGTTGCGGCGCGGGCCGTCCCGCCGCGTCCACCGTGACTGGTGGCCGGGCGGGCCGGCCGATCGTGACCGTGGTGTGTCGGGCCGCGGCAGGTTCGGCGCCTCGCTGGGCTGGCTGCCGGCGGCGGACGGGCCGAGCGGCGGCGCGCCGGTCGACGCCGGCCCCAGCCCCGAGCTGGTGGCCGGACCCACGCTCGTCTGCTCGCGCTCCGGCACCAAGTACGCGCCTGGCGCCGGCGTGCGCGCCTTCCGGGAGCTGCAGGCCGGCGAGCGCGCCGGCCAGCAGGTGGGTCACGCGTCCACACCGGCTGGCGCGCCCAGCCGGGCGCCCGGCCGC